CCGGGTCCTCCGCTGCTTTGCTCCCCGTCTCCCTGGTCTGCTGGCTCCCCCAGCAGACCAGGGAGACGGGGAGCAGCTTTTCTCGCCCTGGAGGAGGTGGGCGGTGGGACCAGGCGTCCCGCCGCTCCAGTCCTCCGGGGCGAGAAAATCCCCGTTCGTAACTGCGGATCCGACGTAAGTCGGATCCGCGTAACTAGGGGACTGCCTGTATTAGTTGGATTATTAGGCAACTTTGTGATATGGAAAGCACCATCAGACCAGGGAGACGGGGAGCAGCTTTTCTCGCCCTGGAGGAGGTGGGCGGTGGGACCAGGCGTCCCGCCGCTCCAGTCCTCCGGGGCGAGAAAATCCCCGTTCGTAACTGCGGATCCGACGTAAGTCGGATCCGCGTAACTAGGGGACTGCCTGTATTAGTTGGATTATTAGGCAACTTTGTGATATGGAAAGCACCATACATTGTATATCATTGACTAGAAGTCATTCTGAGTCTATAAGCCACCCACAGCAGTGTCCTTGGGAGAACAAAAGGCACACAGTTGGAAAAAAGACTGAACATGAAAGATCTATATTCCCCCATAGTGTACACTTTACTTCTCTCCTTCCAACATTTTTGAAAGCACACTTGCAAACATTTCATAAATCTAATCTTGAGAGCCCTTCAGGAGCCAGAGCTCTTCATAACATCTTACTGTGTATAGTACACCATTTATATACCTGTATATTTTGCTGAACTCCTGATTAGAACAAAATGGGCAGAGCCCCATAATCAGAACAGGAAAATACTGATGGCCTCTAATATTTTTCCTTCAGTGTCTGTTAGTGGAAACAGGAAGCCATACCATGGCTGGAAGCAGTCTTCCAGACAGCTTGTGCCTCATAAATATACCTTTACACATGAGAATTTTAAGCCTAGAGAGAAAACAGCCCTTACAAATTGGAAAATGATTTCAAATGACAATTCCATTGTTTAATGTTTTATATAGCTTGCATATCAACAGTTTTTCCCTTAAAAGCCTCTCTGCCTCTCGTTCTCATCTGTTACATAATACACTAACTGATGTAACAAAACAATCATTAAATATATTTCCAAGTAATATCTCTTATGATAAAGAGTTGTTTGATAAAGTCACAGAAATTTGCACATTAGAAAAGACTGACATTTCTCCTGAACAGCTCTGTGAAGCTCCAAAGCTTGTCTTCCACTAACAGAAATTGATCCAATAAATTCTCACCCCCATTTTGATTGTGAATTAAACAATTGGAAGGTATAATAGGGTAGAATACTGACAGTTTCTTGAGTGGAAATGCAAACACCAATAAAGGATAAAATAGGCACCTTAATTGATGAGCTTATAAAAACCAAATGTGAAAGTAGTTTGGCCATTATATAGCAAACAACACATACAGCCAGGCACCTACCACACATTCACTGAGATTCTGAATGGCTGATATGTGAAATGGTCTTTGGATGTTGGTTTAACTTATAATTGTTTACTCCATCAGTTTGACTGGTATTTTTGTTAATTTCAACATGCAGAATGGTGGTGGAGACTTGAGGTATTTCCTGGAGAGTAAGTGATCCAGGAGGAGCTGATACATAAAGTGCTTTCTGCCTCACCTTGAATATTTTGTGCATAATAGCAGAACAGAGTGAATATGAGGGTTTTTCAATAATTAATTAAATATGTATGGGGTAGGTACAGTTCATACATATTGTGCTGGGCATTACTAGAGCCATAGTTCCCAACCTTTTTGAGCATACAGACCCCCTTTTCAATCTATAAAAATGTAATGGACCCTCCCCCCTTGCTGGGGGAGAAAAAAAGAAAAAAGAGTAAGGAAAGAAAAAGAATAAGGATTGGGCCCACGGTGGTGGGCCCAATCCTTACATTTAAACTTCCCACAGACCCCCTGCAATTCTGTTGTGGACCAGCAGGGGTCCATGGACTACAGATTGGGAACCACTGTTTCCCCCTTCTGTTCTGAAATTTGATTTGTCCTTTTCATGTGTGTTCATTTTTTTAGTTGTATCCTTTGGTATATATGGTTGTGAAAATTTTCTTCCACTATTTGATCTGAGGAAGTGGGTCTGGCCCACAAAAGCTCATCACCTAATAAACCATTTTGTTAGTCTTTACAGTGCTACATAGTCCTGTTTTTTGTTTCAGCTACACCAGACTAACATGGCTACATTTCTATCACTGTTCTAGAGCAGTGTTTCTCAATTTTTTTTTAAATAAAGTACCTTTCTTTAAAAAATTTTAAGTACCTCCAGTATCTACAGTTTTCAGACACAAATTTTTATTCTGCCATTGCAACACATTTGTTAAACAACTTAATCATAGCTGGGCAGGCAATGAAATTTTTGGGTGTAAAGCGTACAAAAATAATAAGGCGCTGTAAAACTTAAAACAAAAATTCAGTTTTCTCCAAATTTCAGTTGTGTTGAGGTACTCCCGGACTTCTCTCGAGTACCCCAAGGGTACTCGTACCACTGGTTGAGAAACACTGTTTTAGAGAATGAAAGTCTAATTTGTTAGCAAAAATATTTATTAGCATGTTAGTTAGCTGCTCATTAATTCACACCCACCCAAGAAACAGTAATAAAGATGAAATATTGATTTAAACAAAGAAATGTTTAATTCATTATTTTATATAATAGTATACAAAGGAAATATAATACTTTTTATTTACACTCAAGTCATATCACATAGGTAAACAAATATAGAAACAGGACTTCTTTATGGCAAGAGGAAAAAAGCCAGGTTACATAGTAACAAGTTTTTCTGCTTTGAATGTTCAACTTTTCCCCTTTTAGTGATCGGAAATCACCTCTCCACGTTTACAGTTACTTGTGCTTCTCTGCTCAGACCCTCATTTCAGTATGTTTAATGGATCTGAAAAAGGAATTTCTCCTTGCTATCCTATTTGAATCCCCAAAGTCAACACTGTGATAGCACTGAAACATGGCCAGCAGAGATCAACACATCAGGCTGTTTGTGGTCCCATTAAAAATGGCTATTTGGTTAAAAGTGTCATTTGATCCTGTTTTCTTTCCACAGCCCGAGAAGAAAAAAAATTATGATTTCCTGGGAACAACTCTAGTTTTACATCTTAAAAATGTCCTGTTTTCTTCAGCTGCATCCCCAACACTTCCTGATAGCAGACAAGGCTGGCAGTTTGCCTTATTGTGGCTAATGTCTAGCACTGAACCTGTAGCATTTCATTGATCAGTGACTATGCTGCCTGAATAAGTCTTTTGTGGAGGCCAGTAAGCTTCTTGCAGGCATAAGTGAGGGATGTTACTAGGGCAGGAGGTCATCTTAACCATGATTAAACAGTGGGCAATGATAGTACCAGTGGCAATAGTGTTGAAGAGCGCCATAAGTGGGAAGCAGATGCTGAGAGAAGCTTACTAGAATCTCTTCCTTTTAAGAGGTGCTCTGTACTTCCAAGAGGCAGGAAGACTGATCAGTAGAGATCATCAAGAAGAAGATCTGTCTCATTATTTGCTGTACTTATACTAGGAATGCTGAAAAAATATTTTAAGAACAAGCAGGCCACCAACAAGGAGAGCAAAAGGGGAAAGTGCTAGGAATGTACATGGTTAACCGGTAAGCCTCACCCCTTCACAGGCGAGGGTTACTGGTTCTGGTTAACCTATACAGGCTGGAGCAGCTCCCCACCTGACCTGGGCAGGGGGCTGTTCCAGCTATGTGGGGCTACCGCAGGCAGTGGCTGCTCTGTAAAAATTACTTTTTACATTCCTTAGCACCTGCACCAGGGCCTGCTCCTGGCTGCTGCCCAGGACCCTTTAAATTGTCACTGGAGCACTGCAGGCAATGCTGAGGACTGCTTGAAATAGGTACGGTATGCTTGGGATGATGAAGAAGGCTGCTTAGTGGAGGCTAGCCCCATCCCTGCCCCTTCCAGAGGCAGAGAGTCGCCTCCCACCACTGCCTTGCCCAGGGGCCCAGCAAGTCTTTCAGCTCCACTTAGAACAGGGATTAGGGTTTTACTCATATGAAGCCTTAAGGCCAAATTGGACAATAGAACAGAAATTGTCTGAGGCAGTATCCGATTCCCCATTAGATTAAGGTAGGTCAAATTCTGGAGCCTACATGACCTATTCTGAAGCGTCAACTATTACAATTCTTCCAAATTACTAGCCAATGCTTAAAACAGTAGTTCTGCCACTCTCAAATCGTCATTATGACATCATTTTCCCACTTCCCTACTTTAAAAGTGGAGACTGCTGAAATACTAAATGATTTGTAAAATAGGAAAAGAAAAATCCTCTCTATTCATCAGTACCACATTTTGAGGGGACAATTGGCAATAAGCTGACTTGGCACAGGTGCTAAAAATATAGGCTAGGAAGAATCTAAATTAAAAAAGAGTATTGACTGCCTAAAACATTGGTTTTAAAAAACTTATTTTAGTAAAAAAAATACAGCTTTGATATTCTGTCCCACTTGTTTTAGTAAGAAAGGCATCTTAACAAATACTAATTTACATGTTGAAAACAAGCAACTAAAAACCCAATGTTGCATCCCATGTCATATGGGGAACTCGCTTTAGTCACTGAGAACTGCAGAATCAGGCCTGTAGGCAACACTGAAATTGGACAAGCTACAGGACTAATTGGTTTATTTTATTGTATCTAAATACACAATACCCACCAACATAGCTTCTGATCATGGAGAACTCTGGGCTCAAGAAACAAGTCAGTTTATTTCATGCACCGTAGTAGTAATTTTTGCTGGGCAACTATTAGTTAGCTTTCTGGATACTTCTGGAATGTTACTCAGATTAGTACTAGTTAAAGAACATTGTCTGTTGCTTTTATAATCCATGCCTAAAACAGCACTAGCACAGACTTGAAATAAAGTCAGTAACAATGAAAGACAGAATCCATTAGTCAAACAGACATCTGATAACTGGTGATTGTCAAAACCTGCTCCTGTATTTTAAATTCCTTGCTTAGTGGTAGTTTTATCTGTGGGGGGGGGGGGGGGGGGGGGAGGAAGAAGCACAAATTAACAAGTGTAATTTTAAGTTAGATGAGTCCAGAGACTCAATTACAGTCTTGCCTATGAGCCACTAATTAGGTGAGCAACCTTCATTCTTGTGTGTGTCACTGCTTAGGTATGCTCCTTAGAGAGGAACTATTCGCAGACCACCTGAATGGAGCTTGCAGACCACTGGTGGTCTGTGGACCACAGTCTGAAATCCTCTAATTTAAAACAAAGATGATTCAACTATACCAAGATCTAGAGATGTTTAGGTGCACCCCATTATTTGAATCAGTTGGATTCAGATGTATAGCTTTAGAGATCATTTGGCTCTATGGCAGGCAATTTAAAATACCCAGTTTTCAAAAGCTATTTCCTATTGTTGGTTGCGTGTATGCCCATAGTTTATGCTGATCAGTTGGAATTCAATTAAAATGAAGTAGGAAATAAAATAATTTTCAAATCTAGGGAAGAATTTCACATTTAAGTACACCTCAATTATGGATAAAAGTGTTACAGCTTATAGATATTTTGTTTTGTTACTAAACAGACACAAGTATAAACTCCTTAACTTGCTTTGGTATTAAAGTGCATAGTAGAATTTGTTCTGTTCTCACTAGGCTGAAATTTTGCTTTTATGCAATCTAACTTTGAACACCACTTTTTTATTCCAGATGTAATGCTTGTTAGACTAGAATGATCAAGACAAGGTTGCCCAAACCTATTTTTACAGCAAGCATCCATTTTTCCCTAATTCCTCCAGCTAATATTCACCTGAAAAAAAAAATCCTTTTTCTGCTTTTACATCTTTACATGTTAGCTAAACAAACTGAATTGTCTGAAAGGAGGTCACGTTGATAATTGTAAGACTGAAGTTAACAAAATTGACAGCAGCACATACAGTGCACCACTAGCACCAGTAGTTCCAAGAACAGGCTGAAGCAAGTTTAGCGGAGTTCTCTTTTGAGGCTGCTACCTACATATGTTGGCATCAATTATCAGCAATATAGATAGGCAAAGATTGTCTTCTCTGTGGAGATATCACTGAACTTTTGCTGATGTTATCAGTATCCATGTGGTAAACAGCAAGATTGGCACTCAACACCAACCAAAATGGTATACCAGAAGAATATCAGTTTTCTAGAGGAGCAGTAGTAATATTTGCTCCTCACATTTAATAATTCGCACTCCTGAAAATCAAAACGGGAAAGTTAGGACCAAGAGTCTGACATCAGCCTGCCTTCGTCAGGAAAATACTTTCATATGTAACGAGAACAGCAAAATCACAGTTAGGCAGTGAGTCTCAAGTCTGAGTGTTTTTAGTTATGCTGCTTCCTGTTCTAGCATTTCTTCTAACACTTTAGCTCCAGAAGTATCATCATCATTAGAATAATTTCCTGAATCTCGACTGTTCTGTTTAGAGTGTTTGTACTCTTTAATATCAGTTTGATTGGTTTCTTCTATGACAATACTCTCAATTATGCAACAGTTTTCTGTCGGCTCCTCTGAAGTTGACAGATATGGAATGCTGAAAGGTTGTCCTATGAGGCACTGCAGATAGGGGAGAATGAAAGGAGAGAAAACAAAAACGTTTTTTATAAGTTTAAATATGGCTTTGATTAATGCAGCTGCTTTGCAATCTTCTTCCTATTATATTCTGCAGTACAATGAGGCTCTACTTATAAGTGTAGCACTTCTTTTAAGGAGTTAATAACTGAGCTATAAGGTTGCTTTGGTATGTAAATACAGACAAGTATTACAAAATGTCTTTACAAGCCTCTAAAGTAATATAAAATGGTAGATTCTTGATAACCTGAAGTCTTTAAATCATGGTTTGGGGACTTCAGTAACTCAGCCAGAGGTTATGGATCTATTACTGGAATTGGTGAGATTCTGTGGCCTACACATTACTAGATGACCATGGTGGTTCTTTCTAGCCTTAAAGTCTGAATCGATATGCCCATAAATAATTTTCTCTCCATTTTTTACTGTGCTAATCAGTATTAACCACCTGCTCAATGTGCTCAGCAAAATAAAACACACAGATTATTATACAGACTCAAACTTCGGAGGAGTGAGCTACTATACCAACACCACAAGTACACACACTGAGACACAGAGAAAGAATTTAGTGCATTTGGGGACAAGAAAGTGTTGGTAATAGGTAGGTACTTTTATTGGTTTTAAACTGACATTTGCAAGCTTTGCAAGGGAAGAGAAAAGGCCCCCGAGGAAAAATTTGAAATAGACAGCGGCTATGGAAGGAGTTCAAGGAAGGGATTTTAAACATTTGTTAACTTAATCCTAGAAATAAATATTTAAAACCCCTTCCACTGAAGAGGATATCTGAAATTTTGTCTTACAATTGAGTTTATAGATGATTTGATTGTAGATATATTGTTTAACTTACAACTTGACTGACACTAATGTTTATAAAGCACTATGTATTGTATATGCTAAGGCCGTGGTGTCCAACCAGTTCTGTAGCAGTGGACACTATAATGGCTGCTGCTATAGCGAACTAGCCCCACTCAACCAGCCAAGCAATCACATGTGGCTAGCATGTTGGACACCACAGTGCTAAGGGCTTCACTGAGGCAGAAGCATGCTGGGAACAAGATACACTGTCCAAGTGACATGCTATCTTGTCAATGTTATAATGGTCTCACTGACAACTGGGAGAGTACTGTGAAAGCTGGTTCTTGCTACACTTTAGCATTTGAGTGTTGTGAGCCATAATGTCTGCCTTTTTCCTACACATGATGCATTCTCAAGCAAACCTGTTTTATGTTAACAATAATCTAACTTCAAACAATACTTTTTTTCATATAAGCACTACTTGAATATGTACAGACTGATGACAGCTTATGGGAATTATCATATCATATGACTACAGCCCTACCAAATTAATTTTGGCCAATTTTAAAAATAATAAATGTCATGATTTCAGCTATTTAAATCTAAAGTGTCACTATATTGTAACTGTAGAGGGTCTGATACCATGGACCTTGCCCACCTTCCCCTTCTGTGAGTTCATAATTAATGGTCCATGCATCTGAAAAAGTGGCTTGGCCCACAAAAGCTTATGCCCAAATAAATAGGTTAGACTTTCAAGTGCCATAGGACTCTCCATTGTTTTTGTTTAATGAAAATGAGACACGAACCCCAAATGGCAGCTTACATATTTCAATAAGAAAAAAAATGCTTAACATGCCACAGAAGTACCACCACTCTAGTTCAGTTATGAGACCAACAGAAAGAGAGAAGAAATCTTAACTCTATTTTATATGCTGTCTAACCATCTCAACAGACTGTGCAGAAATAGCTCAGTCCCTAAAGTTTCCAGCACAGGAAATGAAAAATTTGTGAAAGATCTCAACTCCTTAGTTCTAGCCAGATAACAATCAAACTATGGTTGAACAATAATGTATACTCACCCCCATGAGCATGAGACCCAAGAAAGAAAATCAATATATCAATTAACATGAAAAATCTCAAATTATTTTAGGGATAAAGCTGGGGTCAGGTCTAGGTACAACCTTGTTACAAAAACACCAGAAGGAGTGTCTACCATCAAAACATGCAGTTCCATAGTTTTTCTAGAGAGACTGTAGCCCCTATTATAAAGTTTTTTTAGGGAGAGGTGTGAATGGGAGAAATAATTAGGTTAACACTAAATTTAGATCCCATTAAAGAACTGGATTTCCTACTGGCAGACACAAGTTCAATAAAACCTTTTAACAGACATGAAAAAAACCCCTGATTTCTCACAAATAAGTAAATGAAACATTGCTGTTGATGCCAAGTGGACTAATTAAGGAAACAGATAAATCCACAGATTTCAAATGTAATAAAAAATTAGGGCTGTTGATTATTGCAGTTAACTCATGCAGTTAACTCAAAATTAATTGCAATTAATTCCAATGTTAAATAGAACACAGATTAACATTTTTTAAACATTTGGGTTTTTTTTTACATTTTCAAATATATTTATTTCTACAAATAAACAAAGCATATAGTGCTCACTACATATTTATTACTACAAATATTTGCATAGTAAAATGATAAAAAAGGAATCATAACTTTCAGTCTACCTCATACAAATACTGTAGTGCAAATTCTTTATTGTGAAAGTGCAACTTAGAAATGTAGAAATTTTTTTGGTTACATAACCACATTAAACAATTTAATGCCTACAAGTCCACTCGATTCTACTTCTTGTTCAGCCTATTGCTAAGACAAACACATTTGTTTAAATTTATGGAAGATAATGTTGTCTGCTTATTTACAATGTCACTTGAAAGTGATAACAGGTGTTTATATGGCACTTTTGAAGCTATGGTTGCAAGGTATTTGTGTGCCAGATACGTTAAACGTTCATATGCCCCTTCATGCTTCAGCCACCATTCCAGAGAACAAGGTTACATGTGGATGATGCTTGTTAAAAATGTGTTAAAGTTTGTGAATGAACTCTTGGGAGAGAATTGTAGGTCTAATACTCTATTCACATTCTACCATAAATTTCATGTGATAGACACTTCAGATTATGACCATCGCAGCAGATATGAAAAAATGCAAAAAAGGTACCAACGTGACATTTCTAAAAATAGCTATAGCACTCGACCCAAAGTTTAAGAATTTGAAGTGCTATCCAAAATCTAAGGGGGATGAGATGTGGAGCATGCTTTTAGAAGTCTTTAAAGAGCAATACTCTGATGCAGAAACTAAAGAACCAAACCACTAAAAAAGAAAATCAACTGTCTGTTGGTGGCATCCGACTCAGATGATAAAAATGAAAGTGTGTTAGTCCATTCTTCTTGGGATCATTACGGAGCCAAACCTGTCATGAACAAGGACGTATGTCCTCTTGGAATGGTGGCTGAAGCATAAAGGGACACATGAATCTTTAGCAGATATGGCAACACTGGCTACAACAGTTCCATGCAAACATCTGTTCTCACTTTCAGGTGACATTGAAAACCAGAAGCAAGCAGCATTCTCTCCTACAAATTGTAACCAAACTTGTTTGTCTGAGTGACTGGCTGACTGAGAAGTAGGACTGAGTGGACTTCTAGGCTCTAAAGTTTTACACTGTTTTGAATGCAATTATTTTTTGTGCAGAATTCTACATTTGCAATTTTAACTTCTCATAAAGAGATTGCACTATAGTACTTGTAGAAGGCAAACTGAAAAATGCACTGTAAAAAATGTAAGTATTTGTAATTAAAAATGAACATAAGCACTGAACACTTTGTATTCTGTGTTCCAACTGAAATCAATATATCTGAAAATGTAGAAAACATGCAAAATAAATGGTATTCTATCCTTTTAAAAATCACTTGACATCCTTAATTATAAGATATTGGACTAATTCATAGACTTTATCATTAAACTCTTGGTATCTAATCCTGGCAAATCTCGCTGATCTTATGAGAGACAAATACACTATATTTTTTAGAACAAGAAATCAGATATACTATGTAATGACATTCTAGTGTTGTTTTTACTCGAGTAGTCACATTCTAGGAAAGATAACCAAAACCTTACCTCTATGTTTGATGGGGGTTTGCATGATGGAAAGAATGTATATCTGATCCGTCTAGATATATGATATATACTAAAAATACAAAATGATGCCAAAATAAGAGAGGCAAACATGGCGATTACAAAGGCCATAAAAATAGACAGAGGTGAATCTTTACCTAAAAAAAAAAAAAAAAAAAAAAAAAAATTATCTAGATATTCATGAAGTGCTCCATCACCAAGATATCTAGATTTTAAGATCTTATATATTGTAAAGACTACACCATAAAACTTCACATTTACAGTGTTTTACTTCTTGAAAGTATTACATGAACATGAATATCTTCAGAGCATCTGAATAGCTTATAGCAGTCTATTGAAATAAAGCAGAAGATTCTCAGCACCAAATTTAGGTATATACAAACTTCCATTGTGGATCACAGCCAAGGTACATCTAGTCTAGTTCCCTGTCTGATAGAAGCCAGAACAAATGCTTCAGAATAAAACAGACAGATCAGACTAATCTGATTCTCACATAGGAGTCTTCCTGATTAATACCTGAGATTGCTCTAAATATTGAATCAGGATTAATATCCTTTCCAAAATGAATCATTAATGACCCTGGATAGTCTTGATATCCAATCCCTTTTGGAAACTTGTTAAATTCTTGCCTTTTAATAACTTCCCATGTCAACAAACTCCACAATAATTTAGTTTAAGCATTAACGGGACAAACATTTTCAGAAATTCACCTACTGAAGAAACCCAATACTTAAAAAAATTAAGTTTAGGCACACATGGAAAGGGATAGCACAATGTCTCAGAGCTCTCGGTATCTCCAACAGCTTGTCAAAAGACCATATTCTGCTGCCTTTAATCAGGATATTGTTTTCTCTCTAAGGCTTCATCTTGTCAGATGCTTCAATTCAGCAAAGCACTGCAGCAGTGTTTGCTTAACTTTAAGTAGATATGTAGACAATTGAAATAATGGGGGCCAGAATGATCAGCAACTTTATCTTTCAAGTGGATTTTCCATGGGCATCAAGCAGAATAAGATACTAAGTTTAACATGTGGAATAAGATACTGTTTTATCACGAAAGTAAGGATGGCAGAATCCAGCTCTTAATTCCAAAAACGTTAAGCATCAGCTTTCTTTTGAGAAAGCTAAGATTTACAAGTGTTCCACTCATTCTACTCATTTTCCTTCTCTGCCATCACCTTTTCTCCCTTTCATTAGCAGTCTGCATTCTTAATATATACTTTCAAAAGCTACAGAAAATAGTGTTCTGAAGACTAGCTGCAGATAATTAAGGCAATGCAACCAGTACTTTTCACTTCCAGATAAGTGACATAAAAAACAAAATTCAACAAAATGGGGCATTAGCAAGACCAATGAAACACTGTCTCTTTACAAAGTATTGGTAAGGCATTACTTGGACCCTGACTATAGATGTAGACTCCTTAATGTAAGAGCTGGAGGAGGGGGCCCTGGAGCCAGGGGTTTCAAGACTGGGGTTGGGGCATGGGGAAGGATGGCCAGGGGCCATGGTTTGGGGGAGGAAGGCCAAGAGCCATGGTTAGGGACGATAGTGTGTAGTTGTTTACACAATTAATCAATAAGCTTGGCCGTATTGGTTAATCCTAATGGCTACATGCACCCCCTATTGCTGCCTCCTACAGAGGCAGCAGCACGTAGGGATGGGGTGGAGGTGGGAGCTGGTGCTTGGAGGAGAGGAGATGGGAGCTGGTTTTTAACAGCCGGATCCCCAAGGACACCAGCTCCTGCATAGACACCTGCTCCTGTGGTGCTGCCTCTAGTAAGAGTCATGGAGGAATGGGTGGAGGGTGGGGAGGCACCAGCATGGAGGAAGCGGGGAGGGGGTATGTGGGAGAGGCAGCTGGGGAGGCAGCTTTTAAGCCAGTTCCCTACCTGCCCGTCCCATCTGCATGTAAATGCATAACCACTAAAAAAAATCCAGAGGTTGCACATTTACACAAATACATGTTAGTTACCACCCTTAGTTGGTGCCACACAGGCCTCCCTCATGCTGGTGCTCCCCAGGCCTGGCCCAAGGGGAGAAGGGAGCTGCACCTGCCTCCCCCTTTGGCACTCCCCACATTGGGGTTGGGGAGAAGCAGGAGCTGTGCAGGATGCCTCCACTGCTGTTTCCTAGTCCAACTGGGGGGAGGGTAAGGGGAGTGAGGGGTGGAGAAGGGAACCATGCAGGCTGGGACACAGCAGCCACACTGGGTGGCCCAGCAGAGCAGGTGGAAGGGGGTGATGGCCACCAGTGGTGCTCCAAGGAGAGAAGTGGACATTGGGGATGGGGACAGATTTTAGCCAAGCAATCACTTACCAGTGGCAGGCAAGATGGAGGAATCCCATCCCCCGCTAGATACTCTATTGGTGGTGGTGCTGCCTTAGGGGTCACTTTGCAGGATAGTTCTCCCCTGCACTCACTGCCCCCAGTGGTATGAGGATAGTGTCCCCCCTCCTCCCCCTCCCTTTCCATGTTATAGAAGTATAGTGCCACAGGACTCCTCACCGCTTTTGCATGTTATAGAAAACTATCAAATCCAAGCACATCCTGTTTTCCTGGCACAACCAAACCCAGACCTTGCTTTAAGTTAGGAGAAGAGGAAGTTGCATACCAAACTTAGTGGTCCTAGCTCTTATTGTTTAGGAGGAGGTCTTGAACAAATGGATTCACTGACAGACACAAACCTCTAAATTATATAGATAGAAAAATATGCTTTTCCAGGGGTAACTGCATATTAGATTAAGTTATTTATCGTGGCATAAATTAAACATTTCCAAACTGAATTTCAAAAATTTCTCAAACACATATTTAAACTTTTCATACCGTTAAGTGTTTTAATACATATCGCATCACTAAAATGACCATTTTTTTTGTATACTGGTGAAAAAGCTTGCACTTTCAAACAGTACCAGGTCAAGGGTGTCAAGTCAGAGATTATGAATAATAACTGTTGTTCTTCTTTTATTTTCTCCTGAAAGAAAAATAAATGCAAATTGAAACATAGTACAAGACTGATGTAACTGTATTGAAGTTGTAGGCAATGCAAAAATACTGTTGTATAATTTTAATTAGATTCTACTTTTTCAAATGAAATCAGTAGTTTCAATTTCAACACTACATTTAATAAATATTAGTTTCGACTAACCATTCCCATTATTTTGAAAAGCTGCTTGTAATAATTCACTTCAAATTTTGTGTTGAACATATACCATACTTTCTGGTATGTGTAAGTGTTCTGATATCTTTTCATATGTGCATTCCTACTGTAGTCTTGCAAAACAAAGTTAGATAAGTTTAAAAATGGAAAGTCACATCAAAATGTCAGTTAAAAATGTGCAAATTTCTGCATTTATGAATTCATCTCTAATCTTAGCTCTGAATTAACTAGGACTGCCACACAAATTTCTGTGCTGGAAATTTAAAGAGAATAATTTTACATCAACAGGGAAATAATTCGACTAGTACTATGCCAGCTGCTTTCTTCCTTCTTGTAGTAACTGATATAAAAATACTGTTTTAACATGAGTGATCATAAAAATACCAATACACAGCTTCAGAAAGAGATATTACTTATTGAAGTATATTTTTTCTTTAAGAGCTTGATCTTGCATCAGTGAAGACAATGGGAGCTTTATCGCCAACTTCAAAGTACACAAGGTCCTAAATAAACTACTGCAGAGAACCATGCAGTCACTAGTCAAAAAATTATCCATCAGCAGCCATTCATATAAGATTCCTAAAATGACTGTACACAGGTAACATCATGAAGGATCACTACAACCAACCAATATTACTATCTTTTTGCCTATTTTATTATGTAAAATCTTGCTGGAAGGTATGTTTAATGTGAGTTCTGCAGCATATGCAAGGCTCTTTGTGGAAATAAACTTTATAAGGGGAACATCTTTGTGTAACATTAAGTAGAGGTATAACTGGCAATATAATTTTAAAGAAGTTTGAAAAAGCTTTTCCTACCTCCGCATCTGAAGAATTTTTCCAATATAGAACTCGGTAAGATAAGTCATAAAATTCACTCATGGACTTATTTTCAGACTCTCCTGGAGGAATGAGCTGGATACGAAGTGAATCCTCACTAGAGCTCACTGTTAGGTTTGGAGGGCCAATTTCATCTTAAAACATTTCACACACACAAAGTTAAAAACCTGTTAGCTAAACCATGTAAAGAAAAGTTTTACAGATGTGATTAAACCCATAATAGCAACGGTTTTCAGATTTAGAGACAGGTATTTTTTCCCCCTTCGTGTGCAAACACTGTTCATTCTTTTGAAAAATTGCTGTACTATTTTTAGTTTTTGAGGAAAGCATATAAGCAGTTGGGAGCTATTGCAAACCCTCCTGCTTTTTGCACTTGGTCTTACTTCTTCCATTTGAAGCCAATACTGAGGACAGAGCTTCTTCCCAAGAACCACAACGAAAGGTTTTATTTGTGATCGCCACTGTTCAAAGATTAGTATATAGCATAAAAAACAAAGTTGAACCAATATACCCAGACTGTCTTCCACTAATTTCTCCTCCAATGACAGCAAGGTTCTCACATCGGCCACCCAGCAACAATTACAAGGACTATGACCGTCTTTGTGCTTCTTAAACTGATTTACTGGATCAAGAAACAGGTCCTCTTTTATCCCCAGAGGTGTAAGCCAGCCAAGAGGCATTATGGATTTTCAGCCTTCAGTAAAAGGGTAAGAAAAGCTAAAAGTAATGTTTTCTCAGCCTTCTCAGGTTGAAACTCCCTAATTTGAAGTGAAACATTGTTACTTTTATAGTAAGTATAAGGTTGTTGAAAAAATTATAAAATTGATGAGCCTATATTAATTTGTTTGTGTGTTGAAAAGTTGACAAAATAGAGGACACTGAAAAGTAAGGTGTGCAAAGAGTCTGAGCAAGATTTTTTTAATTTTACATTTCTAGTAAAGTTTCAGTGCCTTGCAACCCTCTCTCCAGTTGCCTTTTGTAACTTCCCTAGGAGTTGCAAATGACTAGATGAGAAACACAACTTTAGAGCATAAACTGACATATACAGGAGGACCAGATCTGTTAGAAAACCATTCTCCTGCATTTACAGCACTACCAATTGACTTGCTTCCCCTCTCTGACACATCAGGAACTGGCCTTGTGTACAAGGCAAATGTCAGATTAGAAGGAATCTTGATATGAGCTGGCATGCTAAGTCTTATATAGCAAAATGATTAATGTAATAATAGTGAGTGAATGAGGAAAGTTAAAGTACGCAAAAGTTACAGAAGATGTTGTGCATCTTAAATTTAATTTGCTATTTCCAAGACAGGGATGAAATACTGGCTCCACTGAAATCAGTGGAAAGCTTTCATTGGCTTTAGTTGTGCCAGTGTTCCACCTAATGTTTCTACAAGGAAACTATAAAAATGAGAACAATTAAAGATGAAAATGAACACAATGCATACAGATATGAATGATATATAAACCAACTGAGAAATGAAGAATGGTGAAGAAAATACATCTACTTACTTACTACACAAGGATCCACTTTTATTTCATTAGACCAATGTGATTTATTATATCCACTCATAGCCTTCACACGGAAAAAGTAAGTTCCAAGATGGTATATGTCAGATGAGACATCACACTGTGTAATGGTGATGTTTTCACATCCAGATACAGTGGTCCAGTTATTTGAATAGTCTTCAGGAAGACTCATTAAATATCCACTAAAATAAATGACATTTTGTAGTTAGTATAAACGCCCTACTCTAACCAAACTGACAATATTTTTCACTTAATTTACAGTTGAATGAATATGTCCATTTCTGGCCATTGTTTCTAAGCAAACATATTTAATCAAAATGTAAATTCATGTCAAAGACTTCTTCAAAACCCAAAGCTATAGCATGTAGTTCTCTATCAACTATTTTGCTGATATGCTCAAGAATTCCATCATAACTCCATCTTTTCTATGGAATGTTCATTCTTAGTTACATGAATGGGGAAGATATATTTAATGCAATGTTTTCAATGAAAATCTGAACACAGATCAGGACTGTGGCAGGGCGTTGCCCTGTACTGGCCCTTTAAGGGGCTGAGACCTGGTGTCAGGAGGAAGCCCAGTTGAGGAAGCTAACCAGGGCCCAGCTAGAGGACATATAGAGCAGCTCCTGGAAGGAGGAGGAGGACCTACCTGCCTGCAATGAGAGGGGCTTCGGCCTAGCAAACCCAGGCTATCCAGCCTGAGACCCTAGGGGTTGCAAGGAGGCAGTCATGGAGGGAGGGGCTCGCATGGAGGCAGCTTTAAAAGGCCGGGCTGCAAGGAGGCAGCCGCGGTTCGCAAGGAGGCAGCTGCGGTAGGTTGGGGGAGTTTGAGCCAGGGATGTCCCAGGCCACAAGTCCGCAAGGCAGGGTTGCAGGAGGCAACTGGGCAGGCAGAGTGGGAGAAGAACTGGGGGTCCTAGGAAGTAGGGATGACCCTGGAGGAGGAGGAGGGGGGAAGGAACAATGACCCCCCCTCGGAAGAGGGCGTAGACCAAGATCGGAGTGGTCACTGCCAGAGGGCAGTGCCCTGAAGAGAACACCTCACCCGAAGGGGGCGCGTCGGCGTCGGACCAGCCGGTTACTTCCCCAAAAGCCACCCTGAGGGAAGAGCCGTGTAGAAAGTGAGTCGAACCCGTTACAAGGATATTTAAGTTTAGATGAGGACAGCAACATCTGTACACTCACTGCATATACGCCACATATTAAAATGCACATTTAAGTCTAACCATTAACTGTATTTGAAAATCTCACAATATTCAGTGTGGGTATGTTAATTTCTTTAAGGATTTTAACATTTGCGCTTTCTGATTCTCACATGATTAAGTTCTCAGCTTCAATTCACTGATTTCCTTGGTAGTAGGACAGATTAGAAAATGTCTGTTCATCTTTTAGGATTAGTGCCTGGTACACATTTAGAAGTCTAGCGTGCAGGTACTCAAAACTTCCAAGAGAAACCAAGTGCTGTGAACGTCTCTGATCAAACACTGATATTTTTATAAGCACCACACGGATGACTGGATGCAATACCCATTACTGCGACGAATACATCAAGATACTTTTCTGAATATCATATTTGAGTTTTAGAAAAAATGGTTACTTACCCCTGTAACTGTTGTTCTTTGAGATGTGCTGCTCATGTCCATTCCACATACATGGTGCGTGCATACATGTGTCGTTGGAAGATTTTCTCTTAGCAGTACTGGTCAGGCCAGCAACGGAGCCCCCTGGAGTGGCGCCTGCTGGCCCTCCACCCTCTCGATTCCTTCCTACCAGGCTACTCTGAAGAAGGGGAGGTGAGACAGGATTTGGAATAGACATGAGCAACTCATCTCGAAGAACAATAGTTACAGACATAAGTAACTCTTTTATCTTTGAGTGACTGCTCATGTCCAGTCCACGTAGGTGACTCCAAAGAAGAAACCCTAGAAGGCGGGGTCGGAGTTCTAACCTTCAACTGAGTGTAGGACAGTCCTGCCCAAGGCTGCAGCCTCTCTAGCTTGATAAGCCAACGAGTAATGATTGGCAAAGATATGGATAGAAGACCATGTGGTTGCCCTGCAAATGTCCAGGATAGGGACCTGAGGTACGAAGACTGTAGAGGAGGCCTGAGCCCTAGTGGAGTGGGCTGTGAGGAGAGGCAGTGGCACCTTAGCCAATTCGTAGCACTCCATAATATATGAAGTGATCCACGAAGAGATCCTCTGTGCAGAAACTGGCTGCCCTTTCAACCATTCCGCTATCGCTACAAACAGCTGCAGGGACTTGTAGAAGGGCCTTGTACTGTCGAAATAAAACACCAAAGCTTTCCGGACATCCAGTGTGTGTAGCACTTATTCTTTGCCCAAAGCATGGGGCTTAGGGCAAAATACTGGGAGGCGTAACCTGATCTTATCCTTAAAGAACACTGTATAGGGAGCGTCCGACGTGATGGCCCTCAACTCAGACACCAGTCTAGCTGATGTGATAGCCACCAGGAAAGACATCTTCTAGGAAATGTGCAGTAGCGACACGTCATTAGGAGCTCAAAGGGGGGCCCCATAAGTTTGGTCAGGACCAGATTGAGGTCCCACTAAGGTACAGGTTGGCATACATGTGGGTAGAGCCTATCCAAGCCCTTCAGGAACCGATGGGCCATCAAGTCCGCAAATAATGTCTTGCCCCATGAGCTCAGGTAGAAGGCTGAGATGGCCGCTAATTGCTCCTTAATCAATGAGAAGGCAGACCCGGACCAGTGGTACCTGAGCATCCCTAGATAAGACCCCTAGTTGGGTGGCCCAAATGGAGAAGCACTTCCACTTAGCTAGAGAGGCGGGCCTAATGGAGGGCTTCCTACTTTCCAACAGGACCTCTTGTACCTGCTCTGAGCATTGTAGTTCCACTACTGCCAGCCACGGAGCTTCCAAGCCATTAGGTACTGGGACTACAGGTTCGGGTGGTGAAGCCTGCCAAAGTCCTGGGTCCAGCGGTAGGGCTATTGGCCTCTCACAGGGAAGGCTCAGAAGGGATGTGAACCAGTGTTTCCTGCACCACACCGGCGCAATGAGTATCATACAGGCCCCAAACTCCCCCACCTGTAGGAGCACTGTGTGTACCAACAGGAAGGGCGGGAACATGTAAAGTAGTCACTGGGGCCAGGGGTTGAGGAGTGCATCTCCCAGAGACCTCTGCCCCAGACCCATGAAGGAACAGAACCTAAGGCTCTTCCTGTTATGGCAGGTTGCAAACATGTCAAGGAGGAGAAACCTCCACCTGTGGAAAACCTGGAGGGCCACATCTCCCAAGGGACCATTAGCGTACAGAGAAGGACCTGCTCAGCTGTCCACCAGAGTGTTCTGAGATCCCGAAAGGTAAGTGGCAATTAGGTGGATACCCTCCCTGATGCACAGCTCCCAGACCTGGAGGGCTTCTTGACACAGGGGAGGGGAACGGGCCCCACCCTTCCTGTTTATGTATGAGACCGCCAAGGTATTGTCAGATAGGATCAGAACCGTCCCTCCCCTGAGCCTGGGAAGAAAGTCCTGAACTTCCCTCAGCTCCATGGCATTGATGTGTAGGGACAGGTCTTCCCATGACCACACACCTTGGGTCCTCATGTTGCTGACAAGAGCCCCCTAACCAGTGTTGGATGTGTCTGCCACCAACCAAAGGGTCAGGAGGGACCTGGAGAATGTTACTCCGGAGCATACCACCGCCTCCTGGGTCCACCTATCCAGAAAGCAGAGGACTTCGGAGGGAATGTCACCACTCTGTCCCAAGACTGGAGCGATGGGTTGCAAGCCTGCACCAGCCATAATTGCAGCAGGTGCATGCGGAGTCTAGTGTGCTGGATGACATAAGTACAGGTGGCCAGGAGACCCAGCAGGTGCTTACAGTTCTGACCACGGTAACTGGAAACACCTGCAGGGTCATGACAGTGTCTCAATAGCCAGAAAACCTGAGCTGGGCAGGGAGGCCGTGGCCGACATGGAGTCCAGCTGAGCACCCACCAACTCTATGATCTGGGTGGGTACCAGGGTGGACTTGGCCACATTTAAGAGAAAGCTCAGCTTCTGAAATGGCCCATGATGCCCTGGTACGAGACCTATCATTTGGTCCAAGGAGAGAGACCCGTATACCAGCCAGTCATCCAGCTACAGAAACACTTAGACACCCCTTTTCCTCAGGGTGGCGGCAACTACAGACATACGTTTTGTGAATGCCCGAGGGGCCTTGGACAGGCCAAAGAGGAGGGCTGTAGACTGGTAATGGTCCTGGCCAACCATAAAGCATAGGAATCACCTGTGGTGAAGAATGATAATAATATGAAAGTAAGCGTCCTTCAGATCGAGGGCAGCGTACGAGTCTCCAAGATTCAAGGATGCGATGATCGTTACCAGGGTCACCATCTTGAATTTGGCTTTGGCGATGAAGGCATTGAGCTCCCTGAGGTCTAGAATGGATTGAAACCCTCCTTTCATCTTGGGAACCAGAATATACCGGAGGTAGAAACACCTGCCCATGAACTCCCCGGGGACCACTTCGGTCACCCCGAGACTCAGAAGCTGCAACATCTCCTCTCAGAGGAAATGCTCGTGAGATGGGTCCCTGAAGAGGGATGGGGTAGGGGGGAGATGAAAGGAAGGGGATGAATATCCCCTTCCCACTGTCTCTAGAACTCAGTGGTTGGAGGAAATAGATGCCCCAAGCCAGGCGGTAGGGGCATAAGTGATCCTGGAACTAGAAGGGGGAGGCTGATAGGCTGTCCTCAGGTGTACCCTCAAAACCCCTGACGGGGCCCTTGGGACTTATTAGGGGGGCCCTGACCTTGATCAGAAGGAGGGAGGGAATGGCACCTATTGTTACTTCCATTCCCATTCCTCTCCCTACAGCAAGGGAAATCGGGTTTCGAGCCCTGAAGGGCAAGCCTGGGAAGATTCCTATCCAGGAGGGAATGCCTCTAGGGGGCCAGGGTATGAATCTTAAGGGACTTCAGGGTAGACTGGGTGTCTAAGGCCATGCAGATGCTGATCAGTCTGTTCGGAAAAGAGGGACAGCCCTTCAAAAGGGGAGGTCCTGAATGGTGATCTGGAGTTCAGGAGGCACTCCAGAGCCCTGTAGCCACAAACTACGTAGTGAGAGGAATCCCCTGGTCATAGTGCGTGCTGCTGTATCTGCAGCATCCAGTGCAGCTCATAGAGCTGCAGGGAGATTATCCTGCCCTCCTCCACGAGGGACAAACTCTAAATGGGAGTCCCTTGGGAGCAGTTCAACAAATTTGTTCAGTCACCCAAGTACTATATGCATAGCGACTCAGCAGTGTTGGGATTCAAAGTTTTTTTTTTTTTATATTTGTATTTTAGGTTTAGTAATGTAGTAATGTAAGGTAACATATAATCATATTTAATATTGTAGTAAGTCAAATCCTTTAGTTAAGTGTGTGTGTGTGTATATATATATATATATATATATATATATATTTCCTATATTTCCTTGTTCTAAAGTGTAGTGAGTAAAGAGATAGAGTTTTGATACTGTGTCTGTGTTAATGAGACTAGAGGAATGTTGAAGGCTAATGCCTTATTTGTTTGATTTACAATGCCTTTTTGCCTTGCCCAATGCAGATATTAATGTTATGCTTTTCGAGAGTCCTTGTACAAGATTGTTTGTGTGTGAAAGTGGTATGTATGTGTCAAGATAAAGGTGCAAAAGTTATTGCTCAGAACAGATGGCCGAAGGAGGGGTGAGCATAGGTGAAAACTAGACTACCCAGCGTCAAAGAAAAATCATCTATAACCATCCATGTGAACCCTACCCACAGGATGATTGGATTATTGGCAGATAGACAGCCTTAAAGTGGAGCTAGCATCCCTGAAAGACAACTGATTACAGGATGACCTTTGGAAATGTTTTGGGAACAATGACATCAAAGAAATAACACTCTAGTCACAGGCTGACACAGCGGAATCTATAGACTTCAACAGAGAAAAGGGTTATAAAAGCAGAGTGCTTTGCTATGGAACTTTGGGTTCGTCTTGCCACCAACTCCAGAGAAGCATCGGATCGACTGACCGACAAAGGCCCTGCTCTCCCTCTGATCAATCTAACTGGCCACTAGATTGGTATAGAATCTGGACTGGTAACTATGACATCATCTGGTGGGACTGTGTATGTATGATGTTTGTGTGTTAGTGATTGAAAAGCATATGCAACTGTTGTATTCTCAATAAATGCGGTGTCCTGCCTTTTCCCCTATAAAAGATCTCGTATGCTTCATTTAAGCATAACAGCGGAACCTGCTGTTTCGCTATGAGGAGCTGCAGGCCTCCCAAGTCATAGGTCTTCCTGCCCAGGAGATCCATCTTTTTGGCCTCGCTGTTTTTTGGTGTGGCACCCACTTGGCCTTGGCTCTCTCTCTGGTTGACCGCCTGGACAACCAGCAATACTGGGGACGGGTTGGAGAAGAGATGTTCATTCCCCTCCTGTGGTTCAAAGTACCTCCACTCGGCCTTTTAATTGGTTGGTGGGATGGAGGCCGGGGTCTTCCAGAGGGTCTTCATGATTTTTGTTAATTGGCAAGGCCTCTCTGGTAGGGATGTTGGATTGGAGGACGTTGACGTTAGGTTCAAGTCCTCTCACGCTCATCCTGAATCACCTACAGACGCTGAGCCAGGCGATGGAGGAGGTCCTGATGAGACCTAAAGTCCATAGCTGGCATGGATGGGAGGGCGCTGCCAAGAGCCTCGTCGGATGAGGAGGACAGCAACCCCTTCATGCCCACAATCTCCTAGTCAGGTGCCTGCAATGGGACCTGAGAAGCCACCCATGAGGCCACAGTAGGGGGTTGAAGAGCAGATGGGCCCCTCTCTACGGATGGCCCAGGCAAGTCTTGCTCCCAAGGGAAAGACTGCCCTGACATCAAGGAATGGGTTAGTGAGGTTGCCGGGGAGGGTGCCCTGGGTCCCGAGTAGGCTGACTACAGCCCAGAGGGACCCAAACCCTGGCCCTCGTGATAGGCGCCAAGAGTCCAGAATGGCCACTGCTCAGATGCCTGTAGAGTACTAAAACAATATCAATCTACCAAACAATGAAGGTGCCAATGGTTCTTTGTCTGTATAGTATCTGGTATTAGTACTCTTCCTCTCTAATTGCCTACTAATGGTTCTTATGTGCCCCCTTTGACAATCCAGGCTTTAGGTGCTTATAGACTATTTGTTTTTCCTGTTACATTCCAGCTTGGCTTTCCCCCTGATATTTTTATACCCACTGTCTCTTCTTGTTCCCCCCTCCCCTCCCATTTTTTTCCTTCTCCCCTATTTATTTTAGTTCTGGACATCCAACACTCTGGTCATCTGAAGAAGTGGGCTGTGCCCACGAAAGCTCATGACACCATCTACATATTTTGTCAGTCTTTTAAAGTGCTACCAGATTATTTGGTGTTTTTTAAGTTTACCCTGTATAGGCTAACTCGGCTACCCCCTGAAGCTTTTAAACGACTAAGACCAACTGCTAAGAGACACTTGCAGAGCAAGAGCAAAGTACATTCCAACAATTGTCCATTGTTGCAAGCAGTAAGAAGGAACTAAAGAGGTGGAGGGCCAGCAGAGGTATATATTAGTTGATATATTGGTGCCACTCCAGGGGGCTTCCCTGCTGTCCCGATGGGTACTGCTAAGGGAAAATCTTCTGATGATACGTGCATGCAGCATGCACACACCTACATGGAATAGACATGAGCAATCACTTGAAGAAGAATACTTAAGCTTCAGAGATCTAATAGACAGCAATTTAAAATGGTCATGTTTAAAGTCTACTTAAGCAGTAAAACTTTAAAAATTATTTAACTTACATGAGTTGCTGTACTGTAAAGCTGACGTTTTGATCATATAAATTATCCCAGGTTAGAAGAAACTTCATGTTCAAAGCATGAATTTCCAGATTTATTGGATATGCTAAAATTCAAAGAAAAAACAAAACTCACGATTGTCACCAAAAAGTCTTAAGTCATGTACACTTATTTTTCTCCAAATCTGTACAGTATATTTTAAATAACTGTTTGAATAGAATTTAAAAATATTTGATTTGTCATCATAGCAGTGGGTACACACAGCTGATTAAGTCAGCAGGGTATATAGCTCTCAGAGGGCTCTGTAGGAAAATATCATTTTTTAAAATCAAGAGAGACTATCAGACAGCCCAGAACATTAGAATAGGGAACATATGCAAAGAAGTCAGTGCCAGTGAAAATCTGTCTGTAAAAAAGTATATGAATACAAATTTACAAGTTTCGTATTCTGGAAGATCTGCAGATAAACAATGCTGCTATGATGCAACTTATGATGTTCTCTTCGTCGCCTTATCCCAATCTTAGGGATTTTACCCTTGTGCAAAACTTATACAAAAGTAAAGAATCTGGAACAACAGAATTCACTTTAAGCAAAGTGTAAATGGAAACTGAGGTTAGCAATAAATATATTTTACATTAACCATCTAAGTAGTAGTTTGGGATTCCAGCCTCGGGGACAACTCATAGCAAAATCATGAATTCCACTGTCAACTATTAATCTAGAGGAGGGTTTTCCCAACCTATGGGTTGGGACCCAAATATGGGTCGCCATTACATTTCAAAAGGGTCGTGAAGTATCTCCCCAGGTGGCTCTGCCCCCACTCCTCTCCACATTTTGGAATTGCCTTGGGTCACCAAGTCTTCCTAAATTGTCAAAATGGGTCCCCATCTGGAAAAGGTTAGGAACCGCTGGCCTATAGTAAGAAACCCCACACAGGACAGCCAGTTGACTTTTTCAACTGGCAGGGTAGAACTTAGTCTGTACTTGGATGGGATATCAGTTAAGGAAAATCTTGGTGTTACATGAAACTGTGCTGTTCATTAACTTCAATATTCACACAGGGGTATTAAGGCACTCTGGTGGAAGTATAGAACATAAAATCAAATCCAGCACTCTAGTCATTAAAGGTTTCATTGTACTTTTTTGAATGATAGTTTGTCAGTTGTAAAGAAGTTTATTAGATGTACCACAGAGTAATGCTGATAATCTAATCAGTTTACTAGCTGCAAAACATGCGCCATATACAGCTGAACCTCACCATGGTACTCTCTGCAAGAAAGGGGGGGGGGGGAATTAACCCTCCTGAAATTCCAAATTAGATAACCGCATTATAAATTCTTCTTGTGAAGATAGCTCACTAAATAAATATCATTTCTTGGTCTCTCCCCTAAGAATCAGAATCTAAGCAGCATTCATCAATATATGTTGAATTTTATTTATTCAGTAAGCTCCAAATCAGATGGAGATGTTTCCTGCAAATTCCACTGGATTAGAGCAGGGGTCTCCAAACTACGGCCCGCGAGGCCCTCTCATCCGGCCCGTGGAGACTGTGACGGGGAAGAAACTCCCCGCACTAACAGCCCCTCCCCTGGAGGAGCGCCGAGCGGCGCAGCGCCGCGGAGCTGGGGCGGGGAAGAAACTCCCCACACTGACAGCCCCTCCCCCGGAGAAGCGCCGAGCGGCGCAGCGCAGCGGAGCCCAGGGGAAAGCCCACGGGGAGGGGAGCGAGGGCGCACAGCCGCAGGCGCGGCAGGCGAGGAAGGCGGCAGGACCCAGGAGGAGAAGGGGCAGGGACGCCAGGGTGAGCGGCACGCCCCGTGCGTGCCGGCTCAAAAGGGGGAGGGGCCGGAAGGACAGGGGCGGCCGGCACTCACTTTCTTTTGGGCAGGCAGCCAGGAGAGGGAAGCCGGAGGAGCCAGCGGGACGGAGGAGGGACTCTGGACCCGCGCAGCCCTTGCCCTGGGCAGCGAGACTCCCCGGCCAGGGGTGCGGGGGATCGGAGCCGCCTACGGACGGCCACACGCCCTGCGGACCGACGGCCGAGCCCGGGCTCTGCGCGTCCCTCACAGCAAGAGGGGTTGGGACTTGGCGTGGACAATTGCTCCCTATTGGCCAGTGCGTTCTTATCCTATTGGCTAGCTTTCTCATGAGGTCACTAGTGAGCTGGGCTCTATTTTGGCATCCAGGAAACAATTTCACCATTCACACTAATACAGGTGTTCATGTGTAGTGTATCAATGTGTTATTAAATAATAACTGAATAAAATAATATTAAATAAATAATTAAAAACAACATCCATGTTTTGATTGTTTTTTATTTGGACCTCAAGTGTGTAGTCGGCCCCCGAACTGCTGTTTGATAGTTAATGCGGCCCTCGGGCTGAAAAGTTTGTTGGCATGGAGATTTTTTTTTAAAACTCATACTTGTTTCTGCTTTAAGGTAGCAGATTTGGATAATGTTCTATTCCCGCTTTAGGTGTTTACTGGGTAGTGCATGAAAAATATATTTATTTGGGTTTCAGTTGTTACTTGAAGCTTTTAAACAAGTGTTTCAGTGATAAACCAGCCTCAACTACTGGAAAAAAAAAAAAAGGGAAACCTTCCCAGGGGAAGTTATCCCATAACTGTCTCGTAAAGGATTTCTTCTACCTCTTCTGAATCATGTGGGACCGATCACACTGACTGGATTCTGAACCAGGTGGACCACTAGTCTAATTCAGTGCTGAAATTACTATATTCCTACATACACAATATGAAGAGTGTAAAATTATTTAATATCTATTTTAGAAAAATAAGTCATTTGGACAAAGGGTAAAAATAATTTGCAAATGAATTCATGAGCTGCAAGCAAACACATTCTAGATCACTTTTTGGGGCCTTAGAACAAAAACAAAACAAAAAAAAAAAAAAAAAAAAATTTCAGGTTTCAGGCAAAAATAGCAAGTTATTTTTGCAAAATCATTCATTTCAACCCAACGCTTGAGTTTTTCCACAGATGCAAAACAGTATCTTACAGGAACGGAACAAAGTTTTATTCTAAACCAAACTCACTAAATACAGGAATATTTGTATTTGCACCTAGGAACAAAATAGACCCATGATAATCTAAATGTAATGGTGGACAGTGCATTCATTTGGATAACAAATAATTCCTTATCCGATCAAAAGCCTCAGAGTATATGATGGAAGATATTAAGCTATCGATAAAATAGAGTTTGGATAACTGATGTTCAGATTACCAAGGGTACATGGAAATCAGTTGAAAGCCTGGTAATTTTGCACAACTTTACTACTTTTGAGCAATGGATTTTCAAGCCGGTCAAGCTGGTTCTAGGATTTGATTACTGGAGTTTAAAGGATTTTTCCTTCTTACCTTTATCTGTAGTTTTAATGCAGTACACTGGACTGAAGGAACCTACTTTTCTTTCAGAAGTTATGTGAGCTTGAACCTTCAGACAGTACGTAGTCCTTGGTGCAAGATCATATATTTTATTTCTGCGCTCAAGAGTTCTGCTTTTTGGCTGAAATATATAAATAGCTGTAAATAACATATTAAGGGAGTTGTCCTGAGACAAAAAGTGTTACTGTCCTGAAGAATCACTTGACTTCTGCAGCACATGACATTTGGAAACATTCCAATATTAAGAATAAGGTAATATTTCATTTATACTAATATCCCCATAGTGTAACTCATCTAAAGTGCACTAAATACCCGGACAACTATGTAGGTTAAGCCAGACGATTGCTACACTCTTGAATGAATTCTCACAAGAAAGTGATGAAATAGAAAACCCTCTCTTGCCTATGGTGAACACTTCAAAACAATCACTCTGTATCTGACCTCAGTCCTCATTTTCAAAGAAAACCTGCACGTTACCTTCAATGATGAGGCTGGAAACTTAAATTCATAACTTTGCTAGACACTACAAATGAAGGACACAGATTTGTATGGCTTATTAAAACAAGCTACTAACAAATTTCCAGCCACCTGCCCTCTGCCTTTCTTTCCCCCATTACTGGAGGCCTTTTAATAGGTCACTTCACCTTGAATGGTCCCTTGAAACATGTTAACAATTTATACTAAACAATTTCTTCCACATTTTATTTAGCTGAGACACGTAGGGTATGTCTACACTACAAAGTTATCAATGAAACTAACACTGATATGCAAAAAAATCCACAAAACAAAAATTGCCAGAGGGTGTTAAACTAAGTAGGAACAAGTCACTTGGACCAGGGCTACATCTAGACTGCAAGCCTCTTTTGAAAGAGGCTTTTTCGAAAGATACTTTCGAAACAGCCTCTTTCGAAAAAGAACGTCTAGACTGCAAGCAGTACTTTCGAAAAAAGCAAGCCTGTCTGGATGCTCTCTTTCAAAAAAACCCTGTTTGCATTCAAGAAAGCCTTTTTTTGAAAAAGCACTTTCGAAAAAAGGCGTTCCTCCTCATGAATGAATATGAAATGAGGAATATGAAATGAGGAATACGCTGTCGAAAGAAAAGCCGCGTTCTTTCGATTTAATTTCGAAAGAACGCAGCTGTAGTCTAGACGCAGGTGAAGTTTTTTTTTTTTTAAAAAAAGGCTACTTTTTTCGAAAAAACCCTGCAGCCTAGACACAGCCCATATGGCATAACCCGCTCAAGAGTTCTGAAAGAACTCAAATATGAAATTGAGGTACTACTGTGGTTTGTAATCTATCCTTTAAATCATCTTCCATACCAAAAGACTAGAAGATAGCTAATATGATGCCAATCTTTAAAAAGGGCTCTAGAGGTGATCCTGGCAATTACAGACCAGTAAGTCTAACACCGGTACCAGTCAAATTAGTTGAAATGATAGGAAAAAATAGAATTGTCAGACAGATAGATGAACATAATTTGTTGGAGAAAAAAGTCACCATGCTGTCTACAAAGGGAAATCATGCCTTACTAATCTTCACTGTTCTTTGAGGATGTCAACGAGCATGTAGACAAGGGGGATCCAGGGGATACAGTGTACTTCAATTTCCAGAAAGCGTAAAAGAGAGAGAGAGTGTGTGCGCGCGTGTGTACGCACGCACACCAACTCTTCTCCTAACTTAAAGTAAGGTCAGGGTTTGGTTGTGCCCCAGGAAACAGACTGTTTTCCATTACATGCAAAGGGAGGAGCTGCTGTTCATGGGGACATGATAATGACAGTGTCTACTGCAGGGAGCCATACTACCAAGGGAGTGGCCAGCAGGGCAGGAGTGCCACAATCTTGCCTGCCAGCACAACAGGTAAGTAGCTCCCCTACCCCAAACTCATTCCTCCTTTGGCCACAGTGTGGAGGCAGGGAGACATACTGGTAAGAGAGAAAACACCCCGGCAGCGGGGGGTGAGGGAAGGTTGGCAACATCAGGGAGAAAGAGCATGCCCTTGGCAGAAAGGGGAGATCTGGGGGGAGGGAAAGAAAATCCCCTCCCCAACCTGAGCCTCTCCTATCCCCAACCCTCAACTCACAGCTTGAACCTCCTGCACTCCCCCTCCTCCACATCTCCAATGCCCTGCCCTGAGTCCTGCATCCCCCCACCACCAGGCCCCTGCCCAGAAGGACCTAAGCAACTCCAGGTAAGTCTGATAGGAAATATTTCCTTATTCACTTCTTCACATAATACAAGAACTAGGGGGTCATCTAATGAACAAAAGGAAATACTTCTTCACAGAATTATAATAACCCATGAAAGCCAAAACTGTAAGAGGGTTTGTCCATGGAGGATAAGTCTATGAATGGCTATAACACATGCTCTGATTGTGCTAGCCTCTGTTTGCCAGAAGCAGAAAGTGGACAACAGGATGGATCAAAAAATAAATTGCCTGTTCACTCCCACTGAGGCACCAGCCACTGTCATTATCGGAAGACAGGATACTGTGCTAGAGGGATCATTGGTCTAACCTAATAGGACCAGTATGTTCTTAAGAAACTAAGCATTGACCAGCTTAACAACATGAGCATCCAATCCAAAACTTTGAGCTAGAGATGTACTACAGTCTAGTAAATCAAGGCCCTTAACAAGACCCTTACAACAGTGAATGGACCAAGCTACAGATCAGAAATTAGGATACAATATATACATAAAATAATTTAAAAAAAAATAAGATTTCATTCTAGGAAGTGATTCAGCAATTGAAGTAAATCAAACAATATTTTAAACTTAACTTAGAAAATCAATCACTATCATACCTCTGCATTTGATGAGTTTTCCCAAAATACAGCATTATAGGTAAAAATTATATCAGATGTCCACATTCTTCTGCTCAGATTTTCCTCTGGAGAGGAAATGTTGATTTCCACCACTCCATTGATAGATTTCAGGTGCACTCCTGGAGGACCAATTTTAGCTGCAAAAATTAAACAATGTCATTAAGCACAACACTTTGTTGAAAGACCAAAAGTTACACGTTTGAACAAGTAAACTACAAGGAATTGCCTACAGTATTTAATTTTAAGTTGTTCAAATAGAATCTAACAGCATAACTAAAACTCCAAGCGTTATCTGGGACAGAAGACAGTTAAAATAATATTGGCTGTAACAATATTACAGTAACTTCCTCATTCTGTAATGAAAAGTTATATACATTTGTGGAATAAGTCACAAGAAAGGCTTATTTTAAAAAAGCCCAGTCCCAAATTACCAACCCGCTATTAAAGGATCCAGCTGTATATAGGCTATAGTTGGTGATAAATTAATAGAAAATAGGACTGCTAGAACTTTAGCTTCTCAAATACACATTTGCCAGCATCAGCACAGGGGCACAGTGGCAATGACACATATGGTACTTTAGAGTACAGCTAATTCCTTATCTGGAGCATTCTACCTCTTCCTTAATGTGAAGATTACATTAATTGGTATGGGTACAGAATAGAGATGGCCACCATAGAAAATCATGATGTAAAAACACACACAAAGAAAAGGCCCTACATCACACCACTTCACCACTGGAGCTCTGCAGAGTCAAAAGTTGGGAAGATCAATTTTATACAGTGATATAACATTGTAAAGTTTGGAAAATATGCCATTATGGGTGAAATTTTCAAATCACAAGTAGGATTTTACCATCCTTATACCTTTCAAAAGTCTCCCACTGTATATACAATCCAGAGGATATTCATATTGCAGTCCTCCCTCCCCCCCATCACAAGGATTAAAAATGTTCAAGAGGTGGCTCTGGGTTGTTAAGATTAGGAAAACTCAAGGGCAAAGAAAGGACAGCAAGACAGTAGCAAGAACAGGTAGGTGAGGGATGAGAAAGTGTAGCCGTATACACAGTTAATCAATGAGCCTGGGCTCATTGGTTAACATGCATAATAGGGAAGGAAGGCAGGCGGGAGGCAGCTTTTAAACAGGCTCCCCAAGCGTACCAGTTTGGGGAGTCACCTACCGCTCCCCATGTTGCTGCCTCCAATACAGAGGCAGCAGCACAGGGCAACAGGTGGGAGCCACTGGCGCCTGCATATAACTACTGAAATAATCAGTGGTTACACAATTACTTTACTAATTGCATCTTAACATCCCTTACATGGTCTACAATTTTTGTTCAAATTACCTATTTCAATTAGGGATGTGGTTTTCTACTGAAACAATAAAACAGTATAATGCCCTACTATAGGCACAGGCATAAAGGCAGCTTATACCAGTATAGCATCTTCCACTCCATGTACAAGAATAAAGACATCTTAATAGTGGTAGAATTACATTAACATTAGGAGACTATGCTAACTTTAATTATACTAGCATATTTAATTTTGTTTGTACACAAACACTTAATCTCAGGACTGGGCTCCATAGGTCTTATACTGGTATAAATTTCACTTAGGGATGTGATTGTTTTAAAAAACAACTAGGGGGCTGTGCCCCCTGCTTGCTACACTCATCAACGCCCCTCTCTCTGGGGGTAGGTGTTTGGCCAAGGGGAAGGGACAGGATTAGGCTAGGAGTGTGGGGTCTCAGTGGAGGGGGTATGCAAGGGTGCAGTGTCTCAGCAGAGGGGGTGAGTGAGAGGGCTGGGGGTGCGAGGACTCAGCAGGGTGGTGAGTGAAGAGGCTGGGGGTACAAGGTCCCAGCTTTGGGGGGTATGAGTGAGCTGGCTGAGGGTATTGGGTCTCAACCAAGGGTGTGCGTGAAGGAGCTGTGGGTGCAGGAAGGCTGTGCACCTTGCAGATACCGCCTCCTCGGAATACCAGGGAGGAGGCTGCGTGACTTGTGAGAACTCGGAGTGAGGGGACTGAAGGACTCTTGGATTGGGGAGGTATGGGGGAGTAGGGTGTGGGGAGGCCGCATAGTTCCCACCTCCCTGGGAGCACAGACTGAGCCCATAGACAGCGGAGCTGGGTGTCTGCAGCAACCCTAGCCAGGGCTGGCAGTAGGGGGCTAGTGGCTGGCCTGGCCAGCCACCCAGCTGAGTCAGAGGTAAGAGTGTCTGGCCTGAAGCAGAGCTGGCAAGGGGGACAGCTGCGGGACCATGGTACAGGACTTCCCTCGTTAGGTCTCCCAGTCCAGAACCCTTGGAGGTCGAACCTATAGCAACTTCATGCAAATGGGGGTGGGAGAGGGGGAAAAGTGAGTTGGGATGGAGGGTAGGAAGGGGTTTGCACTGCTTTAGTCAAGTATATTTAGAACAGCACAACCTGTATTTGGACAAGGTCTTATGAAAGTTACTGTATAAATAGCATTACTAAAAGCATAAAAAGGCAGTTGCTCTAGAAAACAGCAGAGCCAATAATAAGGCAATACAAATCGTTACACTGTATTTTATATTGTGCTGCAACAGAAGGTATATGTCTACACTACAGTGTTATTTAGAAATAAGCTATTTCAAAATAGTTAATTCAAAATAGCTTATTTCAAAATAACGTGTCTGTACAAAATGCATTTTGAAATAGCGTTTTGCCATTTCGAAATAGTGCGTCCACACTGAGTGGACGCTGAATCACATTTAAGGCTGGATAGAACCAGGTCTGGCAGGGCATCAGGTCAGGAGTTACTTTGTGTGGCTGTTGTCTGAGGCTCTCTGAGGTCTGTGCTTAAAGGGAATGCCTTCCCCCCACATCCCGGACAGCCAGTTCTCAGGTTTCCTTGCTTACTTGCCTACCTCAATGAGGGACAGCAAAGCATTTTGTCTCTGTGTGCTCTGGTTGCCCTCACTCGGGAAACCACAGCACTCTGCAACATGGAGCCAGAGCTGCCCCTGGGCACTCTGGTGCTTCTTGTGGATGCGTTGCTGCGAGCCTGGCTGCACTTTCTGCAGGCTGCTATCCGGGAGGTCCATCAGGGGGTTGTCAGTATCCAGGAGGCCCTGCAGGACAGCTTCCACTTTGAGGAGCACTAACAGTCTCCCTAGTCTGCCACACTGGGGGCTTGTGCCTCATTCCTCCCTCAAGTCCTTCCACTTACCCCCCATCCCGTCCCCTTCCTGATGTAAAATAAAATACACGTTTTTTTCATAAACACAAACTCTCTTTATTTAACAAAACTGGGGGGGATGGGGGAAATGAAACTCTGGTGAGACTGGGGAAAGGAGGTGGGAGAGGGAAGGAGCGAGGGTGGGAGAGGAGAGGGGGAAAACAAGGGGAAGAAGCGGGAGGGAAAGCTCAGGGGTCTCGCCAAATCAACTTGATTTTCATGCAAACCTGCTCCTGGGTTTGCATGCGGCCTTTGGTGGCCAGGCTAGCAGCTATCCTGACATAGATGGCCATGTTCCTCTGTCAAGTGCGGAGATCATGGACGTTGGAGGCATCCCCTCCAAACCTGAATAAAGTCCATGATCTCTTCCCTGGACCAGGAAGGGGCCTGCCTTCTCTGGGCCTTGGCAGGCTCCTGGGAGCTGGCAGACTGCTCCTGGGGAGCGGTGGAGGGCCGGCTGCTAATGGCTTGCTGGCTCATGTGTTGGGGACACTGGGTCAGGGCAGTGACTGCTGGTTCTGGGCTGGCAGGCTTGGAGCTGGCACAGGCACTGTGGCCAGAGTCAACCCCGGGAGAGGGAGGGAGAGGAGTGTTCTTGGTTGAGGCTGGAGTGGCCACCAGGGCACCCTGGGAAGGCTGGAGGCCCCCTATTTCAAAATAAGTGTCTACACAGCACTTATTTTGAAATAGCTATTTCGAATTTGGCGTTATTCCTCGTAGCATGAGGTTTACCAAATTAAAAATAAGCGCTCTGCTATTTCGAAATAGCAGTTTGGCTGTGTAGACGCTAGGAAAGTTATTTCGAAATAAGGGCTGTTATTTCGAAATAATTTTGCTGTGTAGACATACCCAGTAAAATGAAAATGTTTAATAACAGATTGCGTTTGTTATTAAACATTTTAAACATGTTTAATATTGTACTAAGTATATGTGTATTTCATACCTTTTAAATAGGGTGTAAAGAATAAAGTAGTAGACCATGGAGATTTTTCTTCCCCCTGTTCAGCTCTTACACGCACATTATAGGAATATAAATAATCTGTCATTGCAGAGGAAAAGTCACATTCCATGACAGTGACATTTTGACAGCCAGACATCTCTTTCCAGTCTGTTTCTTCTATTACTGCCTCCTCATAATCCTCAAATAGTCTGCAAGAAAAAAAAGTTTTCTATCGGTGATTAAAGATAAAATGTAAACATTAAAAGAAGAAAAAAAGCTAGGAAACTGAGAAATAACAATTAAAGTTGTTGATTCCCTTTTATAACCATTAGATTTTGTTTTTAGTAGAATGTTACAGGTTTCTGAAATAAACCTGTATTTTGAAGCCATCTTCCCCCTCCTCAAAAAAGAGAAGCACACAAAATCTTCATGTTCGAATACTTAAGATTTAAGAGAAAAAAGTCAATTAAGGAGTTACTACTAAGCCAGACAAGTTTGCGCATTTATTGGTTGAGAAAAGGCTAATGAGAAATAGCACCACATTAGAAAGAACAAAGGGGAAGGGGGGGAAGGAGCTAACTGAAAATAAGCATGAATAGCAGTAATCTGATGACCAAAGTCTGTAAACCAAAGGCAAACAAGCATGTGTTTCTCATTCTGTATTTATAAAGACCATGACTCATTAATCAGAGTTCTATGCTGGGGAACATTCTGAGTCTTTTTTTTTTTTCCCCAATTCTGGAGACAAACTTTGATTAGTGATGTGTGTTTCTAATAATATAAGATATTGTTCTCAAAGCTTCCATAAATATGGTTGTTACATGTGTCTTTTTCAGTATGCAATGTTACTACTCAATGTAGTCTCACAAATAATACGCATGCCAATATTGAGGAACATTTCCACGGCAATTATATGATCTTCAGAAGCTATTTCACTGTTGCTTTGTAGGCATACATCAGTTTAGGCCTGAATTTTCAGACACATATTTATTCCCAAACACAAAGTACCACCATAAATCAGTGTCCTTATGTTGCTCAGGGATTTGAAAAAAATAAATGATAATGTGCACAGCACTATGTTAGTGGAAGAGCTTGTGTTCACTATAAATACAACCATGTCAGAATTATCTCCTAACCTATCTGGAAGTATGTTTTAAATCAGCAGAGTAGACTGGACTGCAATTTTTAACCAACTGAAAGACCACTGTGACTAAGGGACAACATCTGCTATGCCACTAAAATGCTTGTGGATTTCCACATTTAGTGACTCATGCTTTGGGAGCCTTGGTATAAGAATGCATTGCTAGAAGGCCCACAATTCTCAAAGCTATGCAATTTATAGAAGATTAGCACCTCTTCAAATATCAATGTTTTGAAACTCTTGTTAACCAAAAACAGTTTGAGATTTTAGGTATTAAAATGTGGTAACATGTTCAAACTACACACAGTAATGAAAAGAATGGTCCAAACTAAGGATGTAAACAACTATTAATATACGGCAGTCCCCGGGTTACGTACAAGATAGGGACTGTAGGTTTGTTCTTAAGTTGAATTTGTATGTAAGTCGGAACTGGTACATATTGTAGGGGAAACTCTAGCCAAACATTTCTCCAGAACTCAGTTTTATTCTCCCACACCTCACTTCCCTCAGTCCTTTATTCTCAAGCTGAGGTGTCTGCTGAGAAAAGCCACTCCGCATCTCCCTGGTCTGCTGGGGGGGA